TGGTCGTACATGCATATTTATCCTATGCTTAACATCGACGCACCTTAATTTGGAAATACTATTCAAAAGGCAGATTTTAGTCTTGAGAACGGCAACTTCTTCCCAATTGTAACTGCGGTCTCGGTATTTGGTAAATTTTGATGCGGTATTGCGGTTTTTCTCTCTACCACGTGCGATATTGCGGTATTCGTACCTCCCTTACGCCCCCTCCGAAAAGATCTTCTGAATTGAAGTTTGGCGGAATTTTTTTTTCAAACATTACTGATTGTCACTCTTGTCACAGAAGGTTTGCTGTCTCCTTTCCTCTGCCGTCGTATTCAAGTCATTGGCCTTCATGTTTTGCAGAAAGATCACGACCTGTTTTGCCTTTTTTACACACCATGAGCGCGACAGATGACACATGAAATATGAGCGCGTTTTTTGTAGCTTAATATTTTTACGTTAGAGGAGAGATTTCGAAAATGATTTGATCAAAAAAGTTAAACGCTAAAAGATGTTTAAAATATACATTTTAAAAACATTAAAAAAGCGAACGACGTTTCGGCGCTACGTTACGCCATTATCAAGTTGAAAAGTGAAAAAGTATAAGGTGTACATAAAACTACATAAAATTTGAAACAATACATAAAATATTTGCGGGTCCAATGGGTATAATTCCCAAGGTAAGAAACACAATACAAGAAAAAAAAATGTACGAAACAGACACGTAAATAGTTTGGCGCGAATGGAGTCGGCTTGCGTGTTAAGAGAAGGCTTGATGTCCTTTATGTATAGCGTCTCGTAGACTAAGCAATCACACTTGCTGTTACATTTCCTCAGAACTTTGAAAAGATGGTCAGTCTTTGTTCTGTTGTTGCCATGCTGTGTTTCAAGGTGTTTCCCGATGGCTGAATAACGGTGTTCACTTATGCGTTGATGTAAGTGTCGGGCAGTGTACCCGACATAATTTGCATCGCACAAATCACATTGAAATAAGTATACACTCAATGCGTTGTATACTTATTTTACCTGATTGGTTTATTCCTTGTAACACAATAACACTCCAACAATGTTTTGAAAACAGCCTTATAATAATTTATTATTTCTTGCCCGTAGAGTTCTGTAGAGATATCAGTGTGTGATAATCAACTGATAATAAAAACAAGTTTGTAAAATTTAAACCATGTATTATTTAAAAATTTACTTGCTCTAGTTTCTGAGGAATACTGCTCATGCAATAGAATATTACTAAAGGCTTGCTGCTCCAGTCTTACATAATAGCATAACATCATTCCAACCCAGTCCGTTACACACACACCCACCCTCCCCACCCCAACCACTCAAAATTAATAAGCAATGGTAACAGAAAGTACGTCAGGTACCATTTTTGCGTAAACGCCATCCCCTCTACTACCACCAAATGCAGTGGAACCTTGAAGATACAACCAACCTCTTAGTCTGGGCCCAGGCTCCACATTGGGGGAGATTAGGAGGAAAAAAATGGTGTTGGCGAAAAAAAAAAAAAAACCGTTGGGCGAACAATGCAAGCCAAGCGGTAGTCCTCCCCACCACTAAGCTTGCTTCGATTGCTCACTGTTATTTTTCCCATTTCACCCTTTTCTTTTTTGCCTTTTTCCCCCACCAAGGAGCCTGGTCCCAGGATACCAACTTCTTTAGACTGTTCAAAGTCCTCCGAAGTTATGAACAAAATTAATGACACTTTTACCAATCTATTTTAATTTGCTATGCACCTGCTAGATAAAGGTGCTTAGGGCAATCAAATAATGTAACATTAATGCCAGTGATAAAAAATGAAAAAAGCTGAAATTGACCTTGTTCATATTTGGGTATTGTGACAGACTATTTTTTTCTTTTTTGACTTCAAATTAGGACCAAAAAAGGGAATGTTATCTACACTAAGTCTTCTTTTTAATAGAACTGAATTAGTTGAAGGATTGTCTGTAGATGCGAGTTTTCATCCTCAACCTCATTCAATGTCAGATTACAATGTGATTCCAATATTTTAAACATCACTTTTTTTTTATAATTTGTGTCATTGAATTGTAGATAGCTTTAATTTATATAAATATTGTAATCACAACAATATTAGTACTTTTACAGTGTAATTGTATTTGAAATATTAACATCATAAATGTAGTTAAAAGATGGTTAACCTCAAGTGAATCAACTAACCAAACAGAGGGTGCTGTGAGTCACATCACTGAACCAGCTCCAAAGAACCCTTAACAGTTAAGGCTGCAGTATCAGGTGACGGCTTGTTAGCCATCCATGACAGGTATGCATTCCAAAATATTGCTACAATTTGGACAAAGCCAACGCGGTGCTGAATAGGAACAAACGTAAAATTGAGAGTCTGTGCAAGGGGCCAGATCTTATAATTTGTGATCAGTGTCTGTACATAGCGTTCCTGGAGCATCTCTTTGATTTCATGTGGTCGTTTTCCAGCAAGTGTCTCGGACACACTGAAAAAGAAGATAAAAATTGATAAGTGCATAAATAGTGAGGTCGTTATAAATTGCGTAGCAATTTTCTACGAAGAAGGAAAAGGGGGCGAAAATTACAGAAAAAAAAAAGTTCCGTTGTTTGGTAAATCGAGGGGAGAAGAGGCTGGGGAAATTCAGGGAAACCGTTTGGTAAGTACTATTTTATTGTACTTACTCCTAACCTACCTCAACAATACATCGATTATCGACATTTTTCTGTCCTATACAGTCTACTTGAAAAAATGGACTGACAGTTATCGGACCTTATCGTATATGAGTTTTACTGAAAACGTTTGATAAACAAAGACGAGTGCGATGGTCGTACATGCATATTTATCCTATGCTTAACATCGACGCACCTTAATTTGGAAATACTATTCAAAAGGCAGATTTTAGTCTTGAGAACGGCAACTTCTTCCCAATTGTAACTGCGGTCTCGGTATTTGGTAAATTTTGATGCGGTATTGCGGTTTTCTCTCTCTACCACGTGCGATATTGCGGTATTCGTACCTCCCTTACGCCCCCCTCCGAAAAGATCTTCTGAATTGAAGTTTGGCGGAATTTTTTTTCAAACATTACTGATTGTCACTCTTGTCACAGAAGGTTTGCTGTCTCCTTTCCTCTGCCGTCGTATTCAAGTCATTGGCCTTCATGTTTTGCAGAAAGATCACGACCTGTTTTGCCTTTTTTACACACCATGAGCGCGACAGATGACACATGAAATATGAGCGCGTTTTTTGTAGCTTAATATTTTTACGTTAGAGGAGAGATTTCGAAAATGATTTGATCAAAAAGTTAAACGCTAAAAGATGTTTAAAATATACATTTTAAAAACATTAAAAAAGCGAACGACGTTTCGGCGCTACGTTACGCCATTATCAAGTTGAAAAGTGAAAAAGTATAAGGTGTACATAAAACTACATAAAATTTGAAACAATACATAAAATATTTGCGGGTCCAATGGGTATAATTCCCAAGGTAAGAAACACAATACAAGAAAAAAAAATGTACGAAACAGACACGTAAATAGTTTGGCGCGAATGGAGTCGGCTTGCGTGTTAAGAGAAGGCTTGATGTCCTTTATGTATAGCGTCTCGTAGACTAAGCAATCACACTTGCTGTTACATTTCCTCAGAACTTTGAAAAGATGGTCAGTCTTTGTTCTGTTGTTGCCATGCTGTGTTTCAAGGTGTTTCCCGATGGCTGAATAACGGTGTTCACTTATGCGTTGATGTAAGTGTCGGGCAGTGTACCCGACATAATTTGCATCGCACAAATCACATTGAAATAAGTATACACTCAATGCGTTGTATACTTATTTTACCTGATTGGTTTATTCCTTGTAACACAATAACACTCCAACAATGTTTTGAAAACAGCCTTATAATAATTTATTATTTCTTGCCCGTAGAGTTCTGTAGAGATATCAGTGTGTGATAATCAACTGATAATAAAAACAAGTTTGTAGAATTTAAACCATGTATTATTTAAAAATTTACTTGCTCTAGTTTCTGAGGAATACTGCTCATGCAATAGAATATTACTAAAGGCTTGCTGCTCCAGTCTTACATAATAGCATAACATCATTCCAACCCAGTCCGTTACACACACACCCACCCTCCCCACCCCAACCACTCAAAATTAATAAGCAATGGTAACAGAAAGTACGTCAGGTACCATTTTTGCGTAAACGCCATCCCTCTACTACCACCAAATGCAGTGGAACCTTGAAGATACAACCAACCTCTTAGTCTGGGCCCAGGCTCCACATTGGGGGAGATTAGGAGGAAAAAAATGGTGTTGGCGAAAAAAAAAAAAAAAAAAAAACCGTTGGGCGAACAATGCAAGCCAAGCGGTAGTCCTCCCCACCACTAAGCTTGCTTCGATTGCTCACTGTTATTTTTCCCATTTCACCCTTTTCTTTTTTGCCTTTTTCCCCCACCAAGGAGCCTGGTCCCAGGATACCAACTTCTTTAGACTGTTCAAAGTCCTCCGAAGTTATGAACAAAATTAATGACACTTTTACCAATCTATTTTAATTTGCTATGCACCTGCTAGATAAAGGTGCTTAGGGCAATCAAATAATGTAACATTAATGCCAGTGATAAAAATGAAAAAAGCTGAAATTGACCTTGTTCATATTTGGGTATTGTGACAGACTATTTTTTTCTTTTTTGACTTCAAATTAGGACCAAAAAAGGGAATGTTATCTACACTAAGTCTTCTTTTTAATAGAACTGAATTAGTTGAAGGATTGTCTGTAGATGCGAGTTTTCATCCTCAACCTCATTCAATGTCAGATTACAATGTGATTCCAATATTTTAAACATCACTTTTTTTTTATAATTTGTGTCATTGAATTGTAGATAGCTTTAATTTATATAAATATTGTAATCACAACAATATTAGTACTTTTACAGTGTAATTGTATTTGAAATATTAACATCATAAATGTAGTTAAAAGATGGTTAACCTCAAGTGAATCAACTAACCAAACAGAGGGTGCTGTGAGTCACATCACTGAACCAGCTCCAAAGAACCCTTAACAGTTAAGGCTGCAGTATCAGGTGACGGCTTGTTAGCCATCCATGACAGGTATGCATTCCAAAATATTGCTACAATTTGGACAAAGCCAACGCGGTGCTGAATAGGAACAAACGTAAAATTGAGAGTCTGTGCAAGGGGCCAGATCTTATAATTTGTGATCAGTGTCTGTACATAGCGTTCCTGGAGCATCTCTTTGATTTCATGTGGTCGTTTTCCAGCAAGTGTCTCGGACACACTGAAAAAGAAGCATATCATAACAGGAGCAAAGAGACTCTGATCCAGCAGCATCTTTTTAAAGCCGGCAGTTTTGGCAGTCCCAGGGACAATCCTCTCCAGTGTAAGGTACCATGATCTTAGCACAGGGCCAATAACTAGTCCAACCACTCCCATACGAGCTGTTCTTCTGAAGTCATGATTTGTGCCTCTTTGCTCAGCAAATTGCTGGGTGATGACATCTCCAGCAGCGACAAGGACACCTAAGGCAAAAACAAGAAGTACTGAAGAGTTATACTGTCTTTGCATCCCAGGGGAAAGCACTCCCTTATTTGGCCTTAATGGTTAACATGGTATGGGTTTGGGGGGTTGAGAGTCTTAATAAAACTGAGTACACAATTTTGCTATTAGCCTCTCAAACAGGGTGTTGCCCTGAACAGGCTGTAAAATGTGGGAGATTTCAATCAGTGTACATGTACATCTGTGTGGGAGGGCGGATTCAATAGCCTAAATATGGGTTGGAGAGTCTCTTGTCTGAAATAGAGTAGTGAAACGGGCATTTTTAAGGCTATATGGAGGCATACAGGGTATATAAATGAGGCAGCAAGTGGGATTGGCAGCAACAGCTTAATCAACCCAGTCAATTTACCACTTCCTCTGTACTTTTATACTTTACATAAACACATTAGATAATCACTCTCTTTCTTTCTTTCTTTTTTTTCTTTTAATTTGCCCCATGGTCTCAGTGCAACCTAGGGATGAGTATCAGTTCTACCCTGGGACTAGGGGTTGGGAGGGGGTGGGGGGTATAGGATCACTGATTTGGGGAGAATAGGGGGACTGTCCTCACATCACTGTAGCTCACATCCAGGAGGTGTGAATGAAATCCTTCCTCTTTAACTTCTGTAAACTTGGATCGCAGCTCCCTCCCCCCTTGGTACATCTGCATCCTAGATGAATGCGAGTTACAACAGTATTTATGAAATAATAGGGCACTAGAAGTCTGATGGAAATCAACATCAGCAGGGTGCAAAGAAAGTCAGTTATACAGCTTGTCATTTGGGCAAGCTGTATGAGCTAGTAGCATGCATTAGCCCAAAGGTCATTTCAACTAGCCCCAAATACTTTTTGATGAGGTAACTGCAATGATTACACAGTTCTTAGACTGTAATTTTAATCCCTCAAAAAATGTCACTGTCCTGTACAGTGGGCAAGTTAAGAATGAAATCCACTAGAGCAATAGCAAAATTTACCAGTCCAGAGCTATTGGACACCACCTTCTTTTTGCAATAATATTATGCTGCCTAGTTGTACCATAGCATGTTCATGGATAGCTTACATATACATCAGAACTTAGTCTCTTAACCCGTATAAAAACATATACTTGTACCTGTTTAGAGTTTTAACGAAGATAACCAAAAAAATTTTCACCATGGAGCACTAACTGTAACAATTTTTATGATTGTAATTTTTGCAAGCACAAAGCTTTAAAAGTTGAAAAGGGTGGCAAAGTTTTTTCAAGTTTTAATCAACGTCCACCCTTGCCATTCATAGCTACAAACAATAGACCTTTGTCATGTGGCAGCCATTTTGTCCCAAGAGATCAAAAAAGCTTTGTATTTGCGCAGGTAGCCTCCTTCTTACTGCCAGGCTAACAGTGCAAAAACAAAGCTTTTTAAATCTCCTGGGACAAAATGGCCATTGTGTGACAAAGGTCTATAGCAAATGGTTTCAATGCCTAAAAAATAGTGTGGCATCCCTTGTAAAAATTTATTAGCGATCGCGCCGCGATGACCGCGATCGCGGAGCGATGGCAGCGATCGCGGCGCGATTGTGCATATCGCGGCGCGATTGTGCATATCGCGGTGCGATTTAGATTAATCGCGCCCGCGATAGCGACGTGGTGATCGCGATCGGGGCGAGGTTATAGCGATCGCGGCGCGGTGATCGTGATCGCGATGCGATGATCGCGATCGCGACGCGGTGAACGCGATCGCGGCGCGATGATTTTGATCGCGGCGCGATGATTTTGATCGCGGCGCGATGATTTTGATCGCGGCGCGATATCAGCGATCGCGATGCAATTGAAGTAAATCGCGCTTGCAATAGCGACGCGATGATCGCGATCGCGGCGTGGTGATCGCGATCGCGGCGAAGTTATAGCGATCTCAACGCGATGATCGTGATTGCGGGAAGATGATCGCGATCGCGGCGCAATTTTGAAAAATCGTATCTGCGATCCCAAGGTCAGGATTGCGATGCTGGCGATGAAATCGCGATCGCGGCGAAGTTATAACGATCTCAGAACGATGATCGTGATCGCAGGAACAAGATTACGATCGCGTCGCGATTCAGAAAAATATTATCCGCGATCTCAGAGTCAGGATTGCGATCCTGGCGATGAAATCGCGATCGCAGCGGTATTGTACTTATCGCGGCGTGGTGAACGCGATCGCGGGGAAGATAGAGCGATCGCGGCGAAGTTATAGCGATCTCAACCTGATGATCGTGATCGCGGGAAGATGATCGCGATCGCGGCGCAATTTTGAAAAGTCGTATCTGCGATCCCAAGGTTAGGATTGCGATGCTGGCGATGAAATTGCGATCGCGGCGGAGTTATAACGATCTCAGCCCGATGATCGTGATCGCAGGAAGAAGATTACGATCGCGGCGCGATTCAGAAAAATATTATCCGCGATCTCAGGGTCAGGATGGTGAAGATAGAGCGATCTCAGCGGAATGATCGTGATCGCAGGAAGATGATTGCGATCGCGAAGACAGACAGTCTTTATTTTAGCTCGATGATATTAAACGCTAGCTAAGCAGCTGATGGGGTCGTGCAATTTTGAAAAATAGTATCCGCGATGGCAGCGACATTGTACTTATCGCGGCTTGATTTAGTAAAGTCAAATCCGTGATTTATATGTCAGGACTACGATCCCGGTTTGGTAATCGCGATCGCAGGGGCATTGTACTTACTGCGAAGCGGTGATTGCGATCGCGGTGCGATTTAGTTAAGTTGTAATCGGCGATCGTCGAGTGCCATATTGCTCTCGATCGTGGTGCAGTAATCGCGATCGCCAGGTGGTGATCACGATCAATTCTAATTAAGTTCGCGTCTGCAATCTCAGTGCCATTTACATCGCGAAGGAGATAACCGAGGATCACAGTTATCGTCGCGATTTCTGTTATAAGTTAGTCGTATGGTTATTATTCTGTTTGAGCTCTCACGTCTTTTACGCCCCTTTTAGTCTGGTTACTAGCTCGTCTTGTTATTCCTTATCGTTCGTGACACGTTAGTTGTTTTTTTTATAACTGGCTATATTTAATTTGGTGTTATCCGGGACCGCCTTTCCCGTTTGTTATGGGCCGTAATTCGCACTGCGTTTGCCTTTGCACCCTTTTTTTCCACACGTTAGTTGATTCACACAGTACATTGACTCTAAGGTTTCATAATGAAAGCACTTAATATTTTCGTTATTGCTTTGGAAAACTAATCGAGGCTAGTATGCATGCTTTGGCTTACTAACAGGCTTTCTAACTTTCCAGATGGCTTTCAAACTGCCGGACATTTAGCCTGTGCGAAAACGTACTCGTGAGTCTCGAATGTTTCTAAGTGTCGAAACGGCGTCGACTCTCAGGCTCTATGCCCAAGAAACCACAAACACTCTACTGCTAAGCCATTCCTGTTTTCCTAATCCCTTGGTAATTCTAAACGAAGATATAATACTTTCAAACTATTATATTTAGAAAAAAAGATTTTGAAGAAAATCAAAAAAACATTCTGACTGCCGTGCAGCTTAGACCCTTCCCGGCTGCCGGGCATATTATTTTATTTTTATATTCCATTATGTTGTTCTTCAAAACTTGCGATTGTGAAAATTATTAAGGCAGGCAAAATAGTAATAATATTATAATAAAACACTGGAAAGTTAAGTAACTAAAAGACTACAGAAATATATCAATATCGGGAGGTCGAACATTCGGAAAAACTATAAGCTTATAATAACAGTCATTTTCAGTTTGTTAGAACTTTATCGGTTTCTAGAGAAGGCACGGTTTTGCTTGTGTTTTTGACCAGAGTTACATTAGCAAAAAGCTAGAAAACCTTCTCTCGCTCACCTCTAATTGAGTCATTTTAAGCCCAAGGATGAATTTCTGTTACGCTCCAGGCCTTAAGCTGCTGTATATAAGGATGTAATGAACATGATTTTTACTTAATGGTCCTTAATAACAGAAATGAATCCTGCATGTACGTGACGGTTTAATGCAGAGTATTGGGGTGCGATCCATTCAACCAAAATTCCAACCGGTCCGACCGGGAAAATTGGTCCACCTAAAAAGGTGGACCCGTTTTTTCGAAATTTTTCCGGTTGGACCGAACCGATCCATTGAGTTTTGGACCGAAATATTCCGGAAATTTTGGTTGAATGGATCGCGCCCTTGGGGACTGGATTCCAAGATCCGATTTCCCGCCACTGCGACGCGGGTGGCCAAGATTCAAGGCTGACGCGTACCTTGAAAAAGAAAATTGCTCTCAATTTCAGTTGTCATGCAATTGGCAATGGCCGTTTATTGCTGTTTAAACATTGGAAAATTTTTCTTCATGATTCTTTTGACATGTTGAAAGTTCAAACAAAGAAACATACTTAAAAAGGTAAGTCTACTCACTTCTTATTATCACTAAGTTTAATTTTAAACCTAATTTTTAAAAGGTTAAGCTTGATATTCATTCGGTGTTGTCGATTTTATACTTTCCGGCACTTTTCATAGTTTATAACACAATTAAGGTTAGCCTTTTTATTAGGCTTCTCAAACAAACAAAAGCTAGAAAAATTCGAGCTACCTTTTAATAGTTCGAGAAAGCAAAACTTCTGATTTTGGAGCCTTCGTTTTTTAGCTTATTTTTTTTATATCCTTCGAGGGGTGTAAGTCTTAAGCTACTTGAGCTGGACAACTCAGTTATTTGTCTTGATTTGAATATATCAATACTCTGATTTCGGGAATAACTCTCTTGGTTAACTGGTTTTAATTTCTCAACAGGAAAACCGCTCTGGACGTACTGTGGGGCATAAACATGGAAATATACCAAGAGCCATGATGGCCTCTTGAATATTCTGCAGCAACAATTAATCTGGCAAAGACAACAGTTGTGAGTATTCAGTTTGTACATTATGTAAATTTCAAAGTTAACGTTTAGGCTGAAGACAAAACATGTGGGACGTCACATTAAATTGGCTTAATAAAGAAGTATGGAGAATTTCAGTGAGAATATTTAAGCACGGTAAATGAACATGAAACATATCATTAGCGTGAGGAAAAAAGAAAAAATAATTTTATCCCTAATAGGATGAACCTATCTGAAGACATGGACAAGTGGATCAAAAGAAAAGAAATCAATGCATATAGGCGGTTTCATTATCTCAATACTTCAGGATATAAAACGTTTTACTCTGCTCACACTTAGCTAAAAATAAAAAACACGATTCACTGAACTCTCACATAAGACCTTTCTTTTGAAAATTCATTCCCTATTTAGATCCGTTTAAGTTGAAAATTTAGCTTTATCTTGACATGATTTATACTACCCTGCTTGCAGACTGAGTAGCTTCGATCTTTCCTAGATAAGTTCGGATAAGTTCGGATAAGTTCCGGCCCGTTTTAATTTGTGATGTACGTAATTTTCGGGAAGAAAATAAGGTTAAACTACAAACGAAACTTTCCGATTTTTTATTGATCTGTTTGCCTTCTGAAGCTCGATTGTCGTAGGTGAATTTTGTTCTGTTATTTTTGCTTTTTTATGGCGCCTTAAATTACTTGGATGCATTTTTAGTTCAGGTATGCAATTAAGTGTTAAGAAAGCTAATTTTTGGTGTACACGGCGTACAAGAAATGTTCTTTCGATTTGCAAAAAAAAAAATTCGGTCGACTGGTTGAATTTTAAAACCAAAGTTTAGATAATATTCCAAAATAAATTTTGCGTACTACGTCCTTGGTCCGGCCAAACTAGCCAAATAGTGATTGAAAAGGGAAAGCCTGTTTGAAAATTTCCCAGTAACACTGCACTTTATTTATTAAGCAGTGATATAGAAGGCCATAAAATGAAACTTATATTTCATTTGGGAGCTGTAGCATTAAGCAAAGTCAAAAAACTTGGCAAGCAGTGGGCCTAACAAGGAAAACATTACTCTGCACGTCCTGCACGTGCATTATGACGCACGCTTTTCGGTCGCGGCATGACTTAGACAACATTTTGGTGATGGGAGGTGTTTCTTGAGGACGTAAACAAGCGACGACAAATATTTTTTCCCTCTAAACTTTGATTGAATTCATTTAAAATGGTGGCGAATTGACCTTTTCACGGTTTAGTTTATTCGAGAGACCAAACGTTAGCTCTTTACACAGAAATCTCAGTTTGGTTTCGAATTTTAAGTGAGCAGCCTATAAAAATTATACAGGAATCTAGATCAGATGGTGCTCGGAAGGTTTCTTTTTACGCACTTTTGATGTCGGCTTCCAATTAAAGTAGCCAAAGTGGCCGGAACCACTGGCCGGACCAGGGGCTTTCAAACGGAGCGGTCATTTTCTATGATGCACGATTTTCGGCAAAGCTCAGAAGCTCTCCGTTTGTCACAAGTTAGTAAAATGTTACTGCAACTTTCAGGACAAATTTCAGCTCACTGCTCTTCTTCTGAGATAAGAAATACTCATTTATGTCTTTTTCGTTCGGACCGTGATCGCAACGAGAAATTCGGCCGAAAACCATCTGCGATCAATGACAGCGATCGCGGCGCGATCGCTCCAATCGCGCTGCGAACTTCGGTCAAAAACGCTAAGCGATCGAGAACAGCCATCGCTGAGCGATCACTGCCATCTCGCCGCGAAATTCGGCCAAAAACGCTAAGCGATTAATGACAGCGATCGCGGCGCGATCGCTCTCATCGCGCCGCGAAATCCGGCCAAAAACGCTAAGCGATTGATGACAGCGATCGCTCAGCGATCGCTCTCATCGCGCCGCGAAATCCGGCCAAAAACGCTAAGCGATTGATGACAGCGATCGCTCAGCGATCGCTCTCATCGCGCAGCGAAATCCGGCCAAAAACGCTAAGCGATCGACGACAGCGATCGCTGAGCGATCGCTCTCATCGCGCCGCGAAATCCGGCCAAAAACGCTAAGCGATTGATGACAGCGATCGCGTCGCGATCGCTCCCATCGCTCCGCGAATAACGCAGCGATCGCGCCGCGAAATCCGGCCAAAAACGCTACGCGATTTTGACAGCGATCGCGCCGCGATCGCTAATAAATTTTTACAAGGGATAGCCCCTTTAATCTTTCTGTTTTGAGAATCTCACTAGGAACATACGGTACTATAATGAGGTCTTTCGTAGAAAATTGCTCTCAAATTATTTGTAGCAGAAATCTTACTATTTTTGAATATCAGCAACAATAAACAACAAAAGAGAATTAGATACTTGTAGAGTATGATTAAACCACAGTAAATTAATATTATTATAAGAAGGATACTGTAAAACCTAAGAATGAAATATTAGTAAATTACTATAAAAGTGTTCATATAAATTACAAAAAAAATGTAGATAAATTGTTTAACACTTTTTTCTATTGCTAGTCAGTCAAGCAATCAAAATAAATAAAAATTATAAATAAAACAGTAAGTTGCAAAGAAATTTCATTTTTGGAGTTGCTAGCCTGCACTTTTATCCTTTTAGAGTTATCATCAATATTATACAAGTCAATCTTGATTTTACTAGGAGCAGAAAATGTACAAAATATGGTGATATATTTCATGTGATTTGGCCTGACAGATACAAAAAAACCACACTAGCAGAGACAGTCTTTATTTTGAAATGAGGTCTACATCCTTAGTAATATTCAAAAAAAACATTCTATGTTGACTCTGACATGAAGTAACTTGCCAGTGTAAATAAAATAATTTACATGCACAGTCAAGTTAGATTGTACTGTCAGCGATTATTGTTTAAATAAATATAATTCATGTTTTGTCAAAGACACAAAATGTTGGGTATCCATGATGGAAAGTTTACAAACGTCATGACAATTAAACATCACTGGCTGTATTCCACTCTTTGGGAAATAGTTTCTGTGAATGTTTCCATGTATAAGTCGAAATGGCATGGCCACAGTTCTTAGCTAACTTCACTGTAGCCAAATGACTGACACTTGTGCTTTATAAATTTATGTCATCAACATTTCTTGTAATCGGTCTAGGTGGAGCAATTGGTTTACTTTCTGTATATCAGGATGCAAAGAAAGTCGGTTTTACGGCTTCAAGCAGCCACTCAGGCATGCAAGTTGTTGCTAGTATGTACTAGCCCAAGAGTCTTTTAAGTAGCCCTCAAAAAAATGTAATGAGCAGCATTGATTACAGTTCTTCTGTAATTTGAATTTCCCAAAAAACTTCACTTCGCTGGCAAGTTAAGAACACAATTCACTAGCTCAATTGCAAAATCCACTAGCCCCAGACTATCAGACACGTCTTTCTTTGCATGCTGGTATATGTACATGTTCATCCTTCCTCAAGATGCTCAAACTAATAATGGATGGAAAACATTTAGCCAAAGATTCGTTTAGTGCCAATGATGTGGATGCTTGTTCAAATGTTTGAGTTACACTGTTAAGATAAATGTATGTTTACTTGTATACAGTTCCTCAGTTGATGCCCACTGTTTAAGATGCAATGACTTACAATAAAGTCCATAAAAACTAACAGCAAAATAAAAACAAAAGAAGGTTATGCATGAGTGTCCAGGTGAGCGTAATCCAGAATAGGACTGTTATTATTGACAGTCAATGGCATTTCGACAATCTGTATTCATCTTCAGAGTCACTCAGAAGATGAATACTGCACAGGTTGTTGAAACATCAGTCACTGTCAACATTCAGGACTACGTTCGACCCAGACAAACATACTCAGCCTACTTATGAAATCACTCCTGGGTTCAAAACTTTCACAAAATAAGAGCAATATGTAGACAATAGACGTATTTTACAATCTGGTGGCCTATCAAATATGTATCCTTTTATAGGATTGTAATAACCATTTCTGACCTTGTTAACATGTGCAAAATACAAAACAATTCTTACTTTCAAATGAGGTCAGAAAGCCTGAATTTATCACACGTATAAAAAAAATATATATTAATAGGGCACCATTGTGAAAGAGGTATAAAGCTGGCCCATACATGTATACTAATCAGATGTGTCAGATGCAGAGGTACAAATTGCACACACACATTTTTTGGACACTTGTTTTGAGCTGCATGCACTGTACATATACATGTGTAGGTATCTAGTGCAATAGAGAAATTTGCATGAAGACAGTCTGTGGGCCAAGAGCATTATCCTCTGGATAATGTTGTTGTTGTTGTCACTCAAAAGTATAAACCATGAATGATGAGGCCTCAAGTATTTATGGGTATACAAGTATGTTCATTAGCAAAGCAGATTCAAAGATCTTTTGACAAAAGTTTGCATTGTCACGAGATACTCGTGCGGATGCAAATACCTAAAGTACTTTCTGCAAGGCATGCCTTTGTTGTTGTTGTTGTTTGTCTTCCAAAAAAGCTTTTTATGTCCTATTTTATTATTTTCAAGTGTGCGTTTGTGATATGCGTATGCTCTTTAACTGTATACATCTGTTATGTGTCCAGGACAGGTGAAGCTGTGAGCTTACTGCCACGAAATCTGGAAACCGTTTGATGTTTTTTGGATGCATCGTCACCAAAAGCTTCAATAAAGTAAACATTTCTGAAAAGAACTTGCAATGCTAATAAAGTTCTACCCATAAATCCATTAGGTCCCATCGTTCATGCAGTTTATACTTTTCAAGCGACAATGTTTTTTCAGTCAGGCACCAGTTGTTCAAAAGGTGGATAATGCTATCCATTGGATAAATCTCTATCCACTGGATAGCGCAATTCATTTTCCTAATACTTATCCACTGGATAATGATTTATCCTGTGGATAGCGCTATCCATCTTTTGAACAACCGGGACCAGGTGTATACCAGGGCTGTTAACCCCTCATGTCTTCAAATAATTTATTGAGAATTGATGGGAAAGGGATGATAAATGATGTCATAATGACCACGGCACACGACATCATTTGTGAAAAAAACTGCACTAAAAGATGTTGTTGGAATTGTCACATTTGACCTAATTAATTGGCTTACTTCCCACCAACCACATTATTGCTTATATTATTTACAATGGCATACCGGAGTTAGTGAGGAAATGTTTGATGTTAAGAGTACAATAGCTCAAACAAAGCAAAGTATTTGAAAAATTCCACCGTCAGAAAGTCGATTCTACAGGAAATGGCAAACCATGGCGATTATCCACAAGATTTCAGACTCTAATCTGGAGACTGGGAGAAATGGTTCAAAAATCTGGAGTCTCCCAGATTATGCAGGAGAGTTGACAGCCCTGTGTATACAGTCAAACCCCGTTTTATTTGGACACCTGCTTAATAAAGACACCTCATTATTACAGTTTGCTTTGTCCCTGGGGAAAGAAAGTCCTTAAGTTACCCTTAAGTTACATTTTCTCTAAATTCAACCCAGTTAATATGGACACCCCTCAGTGCATGTGTTAACAGAGAAAATGTTTACAAATGAGTACTAAAAGTCGCCTTTAATCATCTTAAGTCACTTTAAATCATTTATTTAAAATCTTAAAGAGGTTCAAATTGTCTCGTAGTTATTACTTTTTTAGTTTTCTATTTCCAGAATGCACGATTTCTCATGAAGTGTGTAATAACCCACGTTCAATAATATTAGCCACAGACCCACCCCAACCCCCCCGCAAAAAACTCTCACAGTGACTTAAGACCCATTAATTTCTTCTCAAGTCCTCTAATTTATACATTGAATTACTTTAGGTAATTTAATACACATAATAATGGGCGATTCCAGAAAATATCCATACCATTCCACGGACGGCTTTTAGGATTTCCGAAGGGGAGGGGGGGTTCACGATTATGGAATTCTGAGGGTATGGGGGGTATTTACGAAGGCAAGGGGGGGTTAAAACATGGAAGCCGTCCGTGGTTGGGTATAGATATTTTCTGGAATTGCCCAATTATTATAATTAGTTGTAAGCAATACAAGAATAATCATTCCTGTATTGTTTAAATGCAAAAATGACAACATGTGGTACACAACTTTATGCGGTCACTTGTACAGGTATTTTTATTAATTTCATCTCGTATTTCTGCGTAAAAGTGTTGTTAAAAAGGCATTCAAAGGTTCAAGTTCTAGCTAAATTATATTAAACAGCATGCAAAGAGAGTAGACAGAGTAGTGTCCAGGCAATAGCCCTAGGGTACTGGGTTTTTGATTGGGCTGGTGAACTGTGTTTTTAACTTGCCTGGCTGGCAAGTAAAGTTTTTAGGGAATTCAGATTACAGAAAAACTGTAATCAAGTCCATTCAAAAAAAAAAAAAAAAAAAAAAAATTGGGGTTAGTCAAAATGGCTTTCAGGCTAGTGCATGCTAGGTACAGCTTGCCGTAATAGCAAGCTGTAAAGCTGACTTTCTTTTAATACATCCTGAACAAAAAAGTAAGTCTCTTTTCTACTGTTTTGTGAGAGTCCAACATTGAAAGACATTCCAAGTAACTAAGATCAAAACAAGTAGGTTGCAGGGAGAAAAAAAAAACAATTATTGCCGCCACAAAATTAATTAATCTAAACTTTCTGGTAAGTAGGGCAAACAAGCCTAAAGGTCTATCGAAGAAAAAACATACCATGTAAATTACCGACCCAGATTTTAAGAGCAACCATTGATAAGTTATTTCTCCAGCACTCAACCTCTGATCTGTATTTACCGTAGAATTATATCCATCTATCATTGACAGAAACACAATCACTCTTAAAAAACCTGAACACTTAGCTTGTATAGTCGTCCCTTTAGGCAGCTTTAGGTCTTCCCTTCCAGACAGAAATTCAAGCTTTGTAGACCGAAAGAGCGTAAAACTGCGCTTTGTTTATATATATGTTATCGTGATTGCTCCCTGCCAAACGATTGGATGTAATCGACCATTATTGAGTAAGACCTTAGAAAAGCAAAATGATACAGCTCTTTCCTCGACGTCATATTTATGGCTGCCTGTAAGCACTGTTTTGGACACGTGACTAACTGGTCTGGAGGCGGGGAGAGGGCGGGACCGAGCGACTGCAGTGGAATTCTGTTGTTGTTGTCAATTGCAAGTTACGTTTTCGTTTGAAGATCTCCTTTGAAATGGAAATTTCTGGGATAATAATGGAAACGTTTACACTTGAACTGCCATCGGTTTAAACATAACGCATAATGCTTCCTTTTATGCTGAGAGCGTAAACGCTGCCGCTTGGAAGACTGACGGATCTAGAGCGAGGTTGATTGGAGCTTAGTAGCTTAGTTGTTTCTGCTGGTTCATAATCAACCAGACTGGAAAGTTTCCAAAGAGACCATGCGAAGAGAGTACGGTTCACCAGCGAAGCAAGTATTTGGAAGTATTGGAGTGTTTTGTGTGACTGTGACAGGAAAGGAGCAATATATACGGTGAGAACTACCAACTCTATTTTTTGAATTCAATTGGAAAAACACCCTCTTTCCCAAACGTGTGAGAACAAAGTGAGAACAGACATTGGCAGAGCAATTAATAAGACATACTATGGGGATGGTCATTTCCATAACGTGCTATATCGATAAGTGATTTTAAATGTGTTAAATTAATTACTTAAATGTTTGTTTTTAAATTGTGTGATTCGAGAAAATATCCATATGGATGGTTCTTCCGATTAGACCCCCCACCCCCTCGGAATTTCCGTTCCGGAGGGGTCATGTATAATCCGAGTCCACCCCCCAGGAATCCTATTTTCCTTTTTATGGTCTTAATTTGCCATATTTAGAGATAATCGACCGTGTACCGCTGAAAATTAACTGTTCTCATCTTAAGGCACAATGTTTTATAATCTTTGACCTATTTGTAATCTTTTACAAGGCAATATGTATTTCTTATTCAGGTAGAGTACGCTTGATAGACTATGAGCAGTCTCTCTCTTTTTATTAGTCCGTCCAGCGAAACGCACAACACGAAAACAGAGATTAATAAGTTTATGACATCTCAAGAAAACATTTAGAACATACATTGTAACTTTAAATTTGAATTATTCATTGGAATAAAACTATGTGAACATTTTCGAATTTCAAAACGAATCCACTTACAGACAAAGTTAATTATACAAAGTTGATGTCTGGTATTGTAATTAAGTTTCACTATGTACACGTCTTGTCTATTAAAGTCAGTTTTATCTCAAATGCAACATTTACAGCATAACTTCAAAGTCAACTATTGCATGATTTAACATTAAATTATGTGAAGATATTCGAATTTCAAAACGGATCTACATGTACTGCAAAAACTAACTTACAAACAAAGTTTATCGTTAAATGTTGGGCCTCGATCCTAAAGCCACCACAAAGTTGAACTCTCCATTTTTGTAACTAAGTTTAACTTTGAATGAATTACACTTGCAGTTAAACAAATTTCAGGAATTACATAAAAACCTGTTTGGGTTATCAATAAAAGAACAAAATATGCAAACATTCATTTTGCGTCCCACATGATCTATTTCGTTGCCTAGCACGTGATCGAAAATCTCCTCAACAGATCGTTAAGCGAGAAGTCTGTTGGACAAACAGAAAATCCCAATTATAAAGGAGGACGATGAACATACTAAATTATAAAATAACTAAGATTGTACGCGCGCTCTGATTGGTCGAGAGGAGTGTTTGCATGAGAAACATGGTTGTGGCGTCAAAATGTTTTGATTTTCCCGCGCTAATCACGCAAGCACGAATTTGAAAAAGTTTACGAGTTCAAAACTCGACAAGTTTACTTTATTTACTCATTCCTCCGTCGGCTGAAACTTGGAAAATCGTTACGAAGAAGGTGTGTCAATGTTTTTTGGCTTAAGCTGACAGGTTAAGCGAGAAAAATCCGTATTTTGAATAGCATCTTTTTGGAAAACAAGAACTGATTACGCATGCAAGACTTCGTGTACAAGACTTGTGGCTGGTAAGAACTTCTCTTTTAATCAGTGCCATAACAAAGAGTTTTGCGTTTTTTCTCGGGAAAGTTATTTTATAAAAGCAATAGTAAACTTTTTTCCCGTGTTTGCATAGCCTGATATAAACACTCGAGGGGTTGGGAGAATTCACGACAGTTATGCAAACCCTCGACTTCGTCCTGGGTTTGCATCTGACTGTCTCGAATTCTCCCAACCCCTCTCGTGTTTATATCAGGCTATGCAAACACGGAAAACGTTTTCTATTGCTTAAATATTACTACTCCTACATGTAAAACTATACACATGATTCTTGCTCTTATGCCACTCAAACTAGGATTCTACTCTTTCCGCGGGGCTTGTTCTCTGGAGACGAGGGGGATGAGCTGGATATGGAGTCCTGAGTTGTAACATCACGTAGCCTGTTCCAGACCGTCGGTTACCGGGTTACATTCATGCATATTACTGTATCTTTGATCAAGTTCATCGAACTTTTGTCGATTCATTGCAAACATAACACTCATAAATCTACAGGACTGGTCCGTTTCTGCTTCGCTGAGCCCTGAAATTTGTTTCTGGCGTTCCAGGCGTTCAGATAGTCGAGTGGGGCGTGAAATGGGAGAGCGGGAAAAAATAAGGAGGCAGAGAGGGAGGGGTCCCTGTTTTTTTTCCTGCTTATATATTTGCGCCGTCCTCACAA